ATGTTGATTAGAAATGATAAATATAGATATAGAGGGGGCACATACTGTATGAGGGTCTGGAGTTTAAGAACATCTCATGCTGTCAATTTGCTGTCCATGGATCCAATACAATTCAGTGTGACAGAGATGGGGTTGATAAGCACACAGGCTTCAAACAGCATGACACCGTGGTCTAAGTGTTAAAAAGCTATGAGAGTGTCCAGGCAGTTAAAGACATGGAAGTCTCAGACTGTCTAAAAGTTCTAATTAAGCAATAATAGTCACCAAGGAGGTCATTCTCAGCCATTAACAAGCGCCTGTAGATAGTTAACGGCCCAAGGCATAACTGAGGGTTGTTAATGCTCCCATGGAGGTCGTTAATGGCTGGTCACGAATGGCATTCAGCCCATTATTGTGATTAGAAACCAATTGATAGATAATAGTAAAAAATGATGGCTTCCTATTTCAGAAATATGGAGTTTGGTTGAATGGTGGAAGAATTAGTAGCACAGTAGCTAGCTGAAAGGTAGCCGAGATCATCCTGATAATCCTTTCTGATGATAATTTCCTTTTGTGTGGCACCTTTAAGCTTATCAATTTAAGAAGGGCTTAGGTGTTTACTTCCAGTTGGATTCCTAGAGGGTCACACTGCACAAGACATGTATATTCTCCAGTCTAATGACATAATAAAAGAGTCACATTGAAAATTCCATTGTTACATTCTAATATCAATAAGAATTAAATAAGAAGGTTGCTAAAATTTACTTGTTATGGGTTTTTTCCAAAGCATAAAAGGAGTTTGTTACAGGAAAACATGCAAATACAGTATGTGGATATTTTAAGCAGCAGTCATTATTAAGTCCCTTGTGTGGAACATTGTTTAGAAATCAATTCAAGTCAGATGTTTTCATTTAGATGTTTTTATTTACTGTAGAAGTTTTGATTCAGATGATTTAAATTAGTATAATTCCACTTATGGCAGACAAGTTATACTTACTGTATCATTGAGTGTTCTGAATTGGAAGTACAATTTAAAGCAAGGTGCTGAAAAAGGTTTCAGATTGGTATTAAAATATAAATGTACTGAGGAAAGTTTCATCTTTAAATCTGTGTAGATTTATCAAAAGTGGTAAAATTGTGGATTGAAATTTTAACATTTAATCGAACCACAATTTTATATAAATTAATTGTTCTATTTGTTTTTATATAAGTGTCAGTCATGTTTCAATGTACTTTCCCAAAACTAGTCAGTTGCTTTTATAGCAACAGAATGTGATTCTACATAATGACAAACTTTGAATTAAATCACAGCCAAGCAAGTAAAGTCCAAGGATACTGTTTTATCTTATACTGTAACAACCAAATATATTCATTTCATACCAAGAGCATAGTCAATTTATATCATAACATATTTTACGTTTGTTTGCTTAAAAGTACAGTATATTTTTCCTCCTTTTGGTGAAACACTCCACTTCACCTTGGACAGTAAGTGAATTTATTATGAACCTTGAAAATATATAGACTTTTCAGAACAACGAGTGCTCTTAATTTTGTTTCACTTTTGCATACAGTAGTTCTTCCTTTGTGGGAATAGTACAGTACATGTCAGACAAAAGACCATCATCACTTTTTGAGGAAACTGTGATGATTACCTACTTTCCAGATACAGATTTTCAATTTCAATGAAAGGTACATTACCCTTTGAAACCAAAGTATGTAAAAATAAAGTTTATTCCAATGCTTAAAGTATTGCAGTTACTTGTATACTGTCTATTGATTTAAGCTGGTTGTAGTGCTTTTGAAAAACAACAAACAAAACCAAGCAGCAAAGAAATATACTTCTCTATAGATGACACAGGCAACAGTCTTCTGATACATCCAAAAGTACACAAAAAAGGGCAGATGGAATAACATCTTAATTCATTTGAAAGTGAACAGTACTGTATCTGTTTTGAAGCATGGTTTCTTGGATTACAACCAACAACACTGTAGACGCAGAACCATGTTATAAATAGTCATTAAAATCTACAGTAATATGTTCTAAACTCCCAATGACGGCCTTTCTATTTTTCTCCTTTATTTTATTTTGTTTCAGCATTCTGATAGCTAGGAATCGGCAAAAGGTATAAAAAAGAAATGTATGTGAAGCTAGAAACACATTGATATATACAGTAGTACAGCAAGGAACAACAACTAACTCAAACCTAAGAGTGAAAACTATACAGCAGAAACATTTGGAAGCTGATTTTTTAAGTTATTCTTTTAAATTACATTTACAAAGGCAGTGCCAGAAGAAAGCCTAAGAATGATTTTACCACAAGTTTGGGAAAACCTTGTAATGTCTGTATACACTGAAATATGTAAATTGTTCCTCTTTAGATTTCGTTTTTTTTGGCTTTAATGGAATTTGTTGATTATATCGTGTCAACCTCACAACTATTGTAGAATTGTAGAACAGTCTTTCATAAATATAAAATCAAACTTAAACAATGTTTCAGGACATCCTGCTAGTACCGGACAGAATATCAAAACAATAAATAAAGGTTTGGGATCTTAGTGCCACATTAAGAAACTTCTCTAATTTTCTGGTTATCTAATCCTTTCTACAACCAACTATTTGTTATGTTTACTTTTTGCATAAAATTGAGAAGCAGCTTAATTTATTATGACTTTGCAGTTGTACAGAAGCAGTAATGTTAATAAAATGACTTGGGTACTGTTGCAGCAAGTTGTATTAGAATGGTATGACCTCAGGGAATACTACTCTAACAAAACTGCTTAAGAAAAAAGAGCAGAACGAAATAATCTATAATATCTGTCATTTTCTGGAAACTACATATTCGCCTTTCCATAAGTGTTACCAATTTTATAAAATGGGAGTTTGTTACCAATTTAGAAACAAGTTGTACAGAGCAGAAAAAAAATATTGCCCTTGTTACAGTTTCAGAAAGAAAACTTACACAAGAACTTTTAAAGATACAAATTTAATTTGTACCCACTACAAATTAGCTAAGTACACTAATGAAAAAATAAGTCATCTAAGGGAATGGCCGTTAAATAACCAAATCCGCATTGAATAGTGTCACGTTTAAACACTTGACCTTGGGACTGAGTCTGTTTCAAGTCCAGCTCTCCTGCAACACCTGTTGCTTGAAGAACTTCAGGATGAACCCGAATGCAAATAACTATACATTATTTATTACTTATGTCATTTATCTTGAACAAGAGCATTGTTGATGGTTAAAAACGACGATAAAGTTGGAAACAAATAATAACGATGTCTGTTCTCCGCATGCGCCAGAAGATCCTTTAAAATAACTTCAAGGTCTTTATCAACCGGCATAATGCATGAAAAAAAAATGTGTGAAGAAACGGGGATCTTGCTTGTTGTCGCCCTTTTTTCTTTCTCTGTTTAGTTTGTCATAGTATAGAAACATTTGGAATCTAACATACCATTAAATGCGTATATTCTTGTAGAACTTTAAACCGTCAGATTGCATGGACGCTTTTTGTCGCAAAGACATCATAACGTAAGGATTCTGGATATTGATCAAAAGATAGCGGAAAAAGGAAAGAGACGGGTAATTCTCATAAAGAAGCTAAATTGCAGAGACGAATGAACTATTTTCTCCACATATGCAAAAAAGTTAGCCACTATTGTATACTAGCTGTTTGCAAACGGTAGCTATATATATTGGATATCCCCCTACTATATTGTTTAAATTTGCATGTTTAAGTCCATATGGCTACTTCCTTTTGACCTGCTTTCTCAGCCCCGTTTCTTTGTGAAGGCTGTCACTGATAAAGAATCACTTGACTTGCTATAACAAGTTCAAAAGAAATCTGAAAATACTCAGTTGATCCATGAAGAATTGGAAAAAGGGACACCCCTACTGCTTCAGTTATCATTCCCATAGAGATAGCGATATTATTGATGGGATGGTTATGCTAATTTCTTTAGAGACAAACTTTTATTTTGGAATTTGTTCAAAAAAGAATTTCATACACATCAAACTGGAAAATGCAGCCTGAATTCCTAAACATTTAAGTGGAGGCATGGGAATCTGATTTTCATAGTGAATAATGACTGTGAACGACTTTTTTTTTGTAAAGGATGTACTGTCTACTGAAAATAGACGACATCAGTTTTATTCCATGAGCTTTTAAAGTAATCTTTAAGTCCATTTTGCTTTAATGGGAACCCCTATCTGGAAAATAAATAAATGCCGACTACACTGGAAACAATATTTTATAAACATTGTAAACTACCCAAACGGTGTTTGCTGTTGTTGTTTCCAACTAGCTTTTTAGCGTCCCCCATCCTGAAGGGTTTAAGTTTCTATAAAATAATCACACTTAATTGCCTCCACAGGTAGGTGGTCATGTTATTGGAGGGAATCAAAAATGAAAATTTAAGTGGTGAAAACCCTTTTTTTATTAATTTGAAGAAGAACAGGGGGAACAGATTAAAACTGAATGCCAGTCGGAGTATTCTGTGTGTTCCATGAGCGCAATTCTTGTAGCTGAAAGCGCAATGGGAACATTTTCCTACCACGTATTGTATATGTAAAGTAAAAACGGTGTTTGTCAGCGGTCCCCTCGGGAGCTAATTTCAGCCCTGATTTATTGAGAATCTAGTTTTACCTGAATCAATGTTTAAAGTGTCCCTGTGGCTCGACATTTTGAATAATCAATCCGTCTGCATTGCCTCTAATCATGCGCATCACTGTCTTTCTCCTTTGTCAACCTTTTCAAATCCTTCTTGTTTGTTATCAACGTCCTAATGTCACATGCAGGCATATTCTTTAAAACAAGCTGTCTATTGGTGTATTTTGATACTTTTTTATTATTACCAAATCCTTTTCCCATAATTACACCACAATCATTATATAATCCCATAACAAAGAGTCTATTGAAGCTCTAGCTTTTGTCAACTCTGGGACACTGAATCTGTAATTGCATTATTCAGCTTTTTTTTCCTGAAGAAACATACCCCATCATACCATCCACAGGCGAACATTCTGTTGTGTGCTCTGTAGAACCGCATATTGCCTTACGAACAAAAACGCTTCTGAAGTTGTGCAGAAAAAGTTTTATGTCTAAATCGAAAAGCCCCTCAAAACACCTTTAATTTTCAAGTTGCTTTGGAGCTTTGAACGAGCGCGATCCCTGTAGCATCTTTTCCCATTTTTAAGTTTATTGCGGCGTGCTAATTTTTATAGCTAGCTACGTGATTAATTAAAATCATATTTCTACAAACAGATTGGCATTTTCTATTGTTTCAAAACAGCGCTCCTTCTAAGTAATGCATTTGAATACAGCTTGTTCGTAAGGGAATATAAAAAATGCTCTTCACTGGACCTTTTGCGTTTGTATGCATACGATTGGCAACATAACTGGCTTATTTACATTAAATACGCCACAAGGTTACAGTGCAGATCAACGTCATTTTATCGCTGATTACTTCTCTTAAACGCTGGAGCTGTGACTGATGCTTGGGACGCGCTGTCTACAAAGATTTACCCTGGAGTTTTTTGGAAGAAAACAGACTTGAAATAGTTATCAGAAAAGGTAAGAAAGGCTATTTTAACTATCATATATCTTTACTAAGACAGAAGCGATTACTACATTTGAGACGGCAGGTATCAAAGCCTTATGATTCGCTGTGTGTCTGAATAACAAGACTGACAATGTGAGTGGGTTCTTAGAGAATAGGCAGATTTTAATAAGTGTGTTTACAGGAGCTCAAGGTCAGGACCAAGCTGCGCTGTGGTAAATGTTTTTTCAGTTGCTACACAGGGGAAAATGGACGATTAGAGATTATTCTGTGTAGGTTATTATATCAAGGGCTGAGCTTTTGGCTCATCAAAGCTAAATGCCGCAAGACCTATCTAGTTGCTGTGAATTATGCCGAAGACGACAATGGAGTGCTTTTTTAATGGTACAATGCATTTCACCTACCAGATAGGGGGAGTCCAAGCTGAAAGATGGAAATGTCTTGTGATGCTGGGTGATCAGTATCAATGAACACGTTTATCCTGAAAAGAGACAGAATAAAATAATACACTCTCCACTCGGGATGTGTTGGGTACAGTTAGAAGGGCATTCTGGAGTGGACAATCGTAACAGGTCCGAAGCACACTTTTCCCCCTCAGCGCAAGAAAATGATCAAGTCAATCATGTGGACATGCTTCATTATTCATTGAACACAATCTTTTACAACGCTTCGTTTACGTGCAGGAGTTTCTTCTACGCGTTGCTTTAAAATTTTAAGGTAAGAAGTGCACAGCTTTAGACTATTTTAGCCTTTCGAATGGGTTTTCTGGCAGCGTCTCTGCGCTTTTAAAGTCAGTTTGGACTATTTTTGTTTCTCTTAAACCATCACAGTGGGGCCTGTTTTCCACCGTGATTAAAAAATACAGTATAATTAAATATCCATAGCAGTGACGTTTGCATGCGGAGCTGTCAGGGGAAAAAGCAGAAAAATAATGAAAGCAACCGAGAAGCCATTGAACGGCGCTGTAGAACTTACTCCGAAGAAATCTGAGGTTCTTTTTTGTCTTTGAAAATCGTTACTTCTTAGAGAGTTAAATATTTAATTAATACTGCCTTAGATTGAAGCAAAAGTTATCATTCCCCCGCTATTAATATGATGTGCACCGGATACTATACTGCCGCTGAGGCGGGGGATAAAAACTTTCCTCTTTAGATTCTTCTTTGCAAACTTTCTCGGAATACCCCAAGGGGTTTTGTTCATGATTTCAGCTAACCTGAATACAGATTGTTGAAAAATTAGGATCAAAGTTATCTGGTGCATGCCATGTGTCAAAACTTGTGAGATGGAAGTGCCTGAGAGACCTGCCATTTTGTGCTGTGATCGACCTCTTATGAATAGAAGCCCTGCATTATGCTTTGAGGAACGTTATGGCATTCAACAACTAAGAAGTAAATGTCATATCAGGTTTTAAAACCTTTTATCAGGAAAACAATAACAAGAATATCGCTAAGGAATAAAAAAAACGAGCGAATTAGCTTCACTTGCAACTGTAGTAGCTTGAGGTAATGATAATGTTATTGGAAAAAAAGTTACAAGGATACGGAGAGTAACTACTGTATATCTTTACGATTGAACGGAGAGAGCTTCCAAGACTGCGGTATTAATTGAATGTGAAATGACATGTTTAACAGAACCGGGGGTGAGTCTGGGGTTTTTAGCGAACCACATTAGCAATCAGTCCAGTAATCTCGGCTATAGCAAAGAGTAACGTGCGCTTTACTTTATTTATAAAGTAAAAAAAAACATACGATTGTTTAAATGATATTATGTAACGTTATCAGTAAGTTTGTTAGGAATGAGGTATTGAGAAAAAAGTCGTAGGCGGGGCACATCCCATATTTTATGAAAAGAGCTTTTCTTTGATGATGAATAGGATAAAATCCAGATTTCATCGCACCCATCTGTTGCAGTTTTACAAATAATAATTAGAAAATACTAAAACGTTGGGAAGTGACAGTTAAACTCTTTTTAATTCGGAACTTCGTTGTAGGATATGCAGGTGTTACATGGATCCTCCTTCAGAATAACCTCACCTTGAGTTAGTTTGGGGAACAGATCTCTTTTTAAAGATGGATTTTTTCTCATGTTGTGCTGCGAGGCTACTTGATAGCAACTTAAAATGACACAATGCTTGTAAGGGGATACTGCTCCATGCAACATTAAACAATGCGTATCTAATTGTTTTACTTTTGTACATCTTCCGCAAAGTTGAAATTAGATAACTGTTTTTTCCTTATATTCATTGTTAAAGGAAATGGACGAATAGCGTGTGCAGATGTATATGTAAATGGTAGTCATTGTTTAACGGTATTTGTTAGGCGGATATTATGTCTGTAATTGTGTCTCTGGGCGTAGACATTTTTGTCAGCTCTTCATTTTTTTATTTCGCTAGAAATTGCGATGGATAAGAGTCAGTTTAGTTTGAAAAGCTAGAAATGCCACCCTTGACCTACTATTTTTGAAAAATGCCTCCTTACGCTACATTATATGTACTTGATATAAAACTGTCTCAACATATTTACACAGCATTTACCTGAGTGTAACAACATATACAATATACAATTAGTTGCCAACAAGGATGCAGTGGTTTCTGAAGATAAATCTATTGAGTAATGTGATATGGGGTGGATAGATGTTACCAAACCCACTGTTATGCTGTTCTGAACCAGGATAGATAAATTGTGGGTTTTCACATTTTATACCACACTATTTATAAATTTGCATATTAACAGTGCTTTATATACTAAAGGAAAGAAAGTTAAAGGATATGTGAAAACAAGAAATGTTGTTGTCCGGATGTGTCTGTATATCTATTCTTTATCTGTTTTTTTCTGGTTCTCATTTACCTAACCTGTTCTGCCATTCAACATATGTGTGAGAGATCATTGTAGAAAAAAACTTAACAGAATAATGTTACTGTAGTTTTAATTTAAATCTTATTATATTAAAGAGTGAACCAGATCACTTTTTATTGATATGTTATATATCTTGTCTTATAAGTGAATGCTATTGAAATATAACTAGGGTATATGCATAAAACATACACATGAATAACAATAACAGAAAAGAATGCCACTTCACCACATCTACGGCATTGAAGAACTCCTCTATATCTTTTGACACAAATAGGAAAACACATAGAGCCCACAAATATAACAGATTGAATATCGGATGTCATATTTTACACAATTTTAAGATATAAACTAATTCTTTAGCGGTTATCTTGAAACTAGACATTATGTTGCCTTTATTCATTCCATTGTAAACTGAAGATGCTGACTTGAACTAGTGCATGAAATAGGTAACTTAAAAAAGTAAGAAATGTACTGTACCTAGGCTACCTTTAACACAGTCAATCTGAAACCAGTGAAGTGCGTCTAGTGCAGAGACGTGATCAAACAGCCATTCCACACTTAACTGATTCTACAGACTTTAATTGGTTGAAATTGTCTTCCAGATGCACAAGACAATCAGGCCTCCATGGGGTGGAATCACTGGAAAGGCTAGAGATTAGTTATTAATTGATATGTGTAGTGGATCCCAACTGGCTGTTAAGGTGTAAGGCTTTTACCTATATGGACCTGATCTTGTCTATACCCATCACACTAATTTGATAGCTGGATAAAAGAAAATCAGAAAAAAGGTTCAAATTTTATGTGTGCATTCTAGAAAGGAAATGGCTGCCTTAACACCCAAATCACAGCTGGATGTGAAGCATTTAGTCCTTCAAGTCACATACTATGACTTAACTATAAAATCTGTGTTTCCTTAAAAGTTTAAGGTATGCTGTTCATCTGAGCCATAAATTATATCATTAGAGAAGTGGCAACTTGGAATTCCCCCCCAATATAGAACATTTCAATAGAAAATTAACTACTATACTGCATGTCTACAATTTAAGGCAAGAGAAAGCGTAATGTGTACAATTCTGGATGCATTTTGGTAGTGGTGAAGTAACTGACAAGAATTTAAATTCCTCTGAGATGGGAAATCTTTTTTTCCTTGGTGAATCCTGAATGCCTCGAACTCCCATCCCCTATCTCACCTTACGTATTCACCAGAACTATCTGGATGGATGAGTGTTGCTTCTTCAACATTATAACCAGTTGTTTATTGTATGTATGTATCACCCACCTAAGAAGTACGCCTTAAATGATCAATCAGAGAGCAATCAATCACAGCTGATAGGGATGGACTGTTGTTACTCTATTATGGTTCTAAAGGTAACGATCAGTCATCTTTCATTCTGTCTCTATTGTAAGAGCCACGGCATCATGATATTCTTTTGTTGTTTTTTTTCGCAAGCAAAGATTATGAGTGCGATTTCATACTGTTTTTCTTTTCTTTACCTTGCCTCTTATTTCAAATCACAATTGACAGTGATCGTGTACTTAGCAAATAAGATTTTTTGCTATAAAGTTCTGACATTTCATAATAACCCAATCACACATGGAGTAAGGAAGTGAACAAAATGGTATCACAGTGTAATAAGCTTAAATTAGAGATATTTAAGCAATTTAAGCAATCTCAGAGGAAATACCATACTACAGTTTTCACAAGGAACCTCTGTTCTTGAAATCTTTTCAGGTTGAGTTATGAGAAGCAAGGATTTGAATGGTAACTGAATAACTGCTGCTTGTCCTAATGATAAGAGATGCTTGAACTCAGTCTGTGTAACACACAGGTGTAGAGCAGATTAAATGTCTCTGTTTTGGGGTGGTGAGAGGAAAATCTTTTGGAGGAATTGATAGTTCTTGTCTTGGCATTAAAAGAATGTGAAAAACGTGTAAAGGGTATTTACAGTCCTTCTCTTTAAAATATACGAAGAAAGGTAAAACTTTAATCTAGACACTTGCAGCAATGCAGCTAAACAAATAGACCAAAGAAAAACAACTGTCATACAGATGTGCTTTCCATAGATGTCTTTAGAGTCCAAGTGCTGTATACAATTGTTAGATGTAAAAAATGTTGTAGGATCCTTGTCCGTTTTGTTCCCCTTATAGTTTAAAAAGTAAAGACGGGATAGGTTAGTCAAAGCGGTTTCGGTGTAACTCTCAGTTTAGTTATACCAGACTCGTTTCTCCCTTTCCCTTGAGTTTACAGAAAGATCAATATGATCGCCAGCCTGAAGAGCTGGATTGATGTTGTTATTTAATAATTGAAGGAGTTAAGTTGGAACCATTTGCACAACCTTGAAAAAGATAAGCAGTTAACAGTCTGACCATGCCATTTTTCTAGATGAATGGCTTCTAAAGTTTCTTCAGCTCCCCACAAAACTCCCCAGAAAAGATTTACTTTTGATTGATGGTAGTTTTTTTTAAATGTATTACTCTGATCAATTTGGATATTTCTTTTAAAACAAAGAATTTGTAGTTTATGAAAGAAATGTCTAGTGCCATAATAAAACCTATTTTTGTGGTTGACAACATTTTTTGTCTTTGTTAAAGGGCCAATTTGGATTTAAAATATGTAATACATTGTGTTTAAATAACTTGCTTTGATCTTTTGAGGAGCACAAATTACAGCCATGTCATTTTAGACAAGAGATTTACGCAAATAGGCAAGCACGCATCAATCACTGGATTTAAGTCTCAGAATTTTGCCATTTCCTTTAGAGTCATTCTTTCTTGAAATAGGACTGAATACATGTAGTATTGAAACAACTTTAATTAAGGGTGTGTGATTGATGAGGGATCAGGTAACAGCACTGTTCACTGTTTTGTTAACCATATATCCCCAGAAATCTTTTGCAGTTTGCAACCAGTTGCCATTACTGCGGATTGTCTGCTTTTAAAGGGTTTCTACAAGATGGCTGTTTGAAAAGAGGACACTGCACCTTTAATTAAGATCAAGAGGTTTCTGAAAAGGATGGAGGCGTACCAGTTATGTTGCCTCGTAAATCTGCCCAGTGCAGTATATTGTATTGAACTATTACAGTACACTATTATACTGCATATTCACTGCCTCTCCTGGACTTGATTTGCATAATTGGATCTTTAATGAAACTTGCCTTGTGGAAAAAAACATTGCAGGGAACAAAATTTTGTTGAGAAGTTGTGCTTCCTTTAAAAGGATTTGAACTTGCTGCAAAGTAAGTGACCTGCACCGTACATCAATAGCATAACTACAAATAGGATGAGAAGTGCTTCTGAAAGCTGTACATTCCTAAACTGGTCTCACGGGTTATTACTACAATAGCAGGATTTTTTTAGCCTCAGGGATTTTAGGTTTTCTGTCTACACTCATATCGTATACTTGTTACACAAGGAAGATGAGTCTTTTGTAGACTGCAGTGTGATCATCTTTTAGACTTCTTCTCTTGCAAATATTTTGACAATTTCTAATCCAAAGCAGTTAGACTTATAGAGTATGGTTATGATTCTGTTTTAGTATAGCATTTTAGCAGTTTTTTCCATCATGGATTATATGTCAGGGGACTACATGTCAGGAGTCAGGAGCAACATGTGCATAATTATTAAAGATTGTTTAGAATGTTGAGGATGCTTTTTTATGGGTAATTAAATTATACTTGTTTTTCTCTTTTTTTCTAGCAGCAGAAGGTTAAAAAGCTGATATTACCGTTTTCAATTAAATGTAAGTGTCACAGTAAATGAAATGTTATTTGTCCTGCAGTTTGGCTAGCTTTGAAGGGCCTATCATTAAAAAAAATTCTGGCATAAAAAGTGACATCGCAAAAGAGGATCCATTTAGAAGTGCCTGCATGAGAGGCCTGTAACTAGGGGGTGAGTGTTCCTAATCGAGCTCAGAGGTTAAACATGGATATTAACAAAACTGATTATTTTTTTTATCAAGAGACAATATCAAACAGCCAACACATCACTGTTGTAGAAATGTGGGAGAAGCTCACATGTCAAAATGTTTCACAGGTGAGTATTAGATATAAGAGGGGGGTATGGCATTAAGTAGCATTCTGCTGCTGTTGAGCTAAAGCAGAGTTGTTTTTCTTTTTCCCTAGGCATATACAGTAGTTGGAAAGTTTTATCACAATGTAAGGATAGGCAGAGCTTCCAAAGGTATGTTTTCAAGTGCATATTTTAATTTCATTACAAGAGGCCATATCTTTTACTGCTATATTGTTTTTCTGCCCCCTGTGGACAAGGCTCTGCCTGCTGTTGATTCTTTCAGTAATGATGTCACTGTGATAGTGGAGAGCAAATGTCTCCTGATTCCACCATTAAACGCCTGGTTGATTTGGCTGATAATGATAGCATTGGCGTCTTTCTGCTCCGAGACAGATCAAGCCCTATGAATTAACATCTCCTTACCAGAGAGGGAGCTTGATCGTGTAAAAGGATGATGTACTTAATCGTATCTTTGGACTGTTCTGAATAAGCTGTTACAGACTTCTGTATTTGTGTTGATAAAAGAAGGTTCAGTATTAATATAGATTGTAATAAACTTCACTGTGACAGTATATTGAACATTTTTTTTCACATACTGTAGCATATGAATTTCAGTAAAGTGGGAAAATCTGGATTTCTGGTGTAACATGAGTAAATCTTTTTTTAAAAGGATGACCATTTTCTATAATTTTGTAGGTTCTTGAAACCTATTCCTTGACATACATTGACCAGAAAAAAGTGTTCATGACTTAAATTGCACATTTGAAAAGAAACCAACTAGTTTACCCATGCATTGTAGTTTTTTTTCCTCCTTTTTAATTAGGTTTCCTATCCATTTTACTTGCAGAGACATGTTTTTTTTAAAACTCTGATGACATACATTTTGAAGCTATATTTGAGAGCAAAGTCTTTTTGCTTAGACAGATACAGTTACTATATTGCTGTTTAAAGTACTGCTCTAGCAAAAACATGAATTAGTACATTTATAGAAATCAGCATTCCAAGATTTTAACACAAAGGTAGGGGTCACCTACTGTTCCAACAGTACAATAATGCCATTTAAATTCACAGAGCTGTCAAAAAGTTATTTTTAAAATGATCATTTTCTAAAATATTTGTACATCTGTGACATGTACTATTTGTCCTCGAGCCTAAGGAATGCTTCCAAAACACATTTCCATTTGGGATTCCAAAGAGGTCTTTTAGAAAGCTTGTTTCTTAACATCATTAGGTCTATGACAGTCTCCTTTTGGAAAAATAGGAATAATATACTTGTGCAAGAATCCCATTGGAAAGTTCTATTATATGCAGTCATGGCAGTGATAAATAATTCTTAAAACAGTCATTAAATCAGAAGTTTATTTACAGGTATAGCAGAAAAGCACACATCAAGGATAAAGACCAATGATTTAACAAATAGTGACCTTTCTCTTACACATGTATTTTAGAACGTAAATAACTTCAGATTCATCATTTCATTTTACATTTTATAATGTGTTTCCTTGCTATGAATAGATTAAAAAAATATTTGGATTCAAACTGTTCTTAAATAAAGTACCGAAGTGCAAGTGTCTGAAATCTACACTGGTACCTAAGAGACTGATGTTCAGATGAGCTCCCTGTGTTCCATGAACCCATAGTGTTAAACTTTGGTTTGTCAGCTGCATATAAAATACTTTTAACTGTAACTCAAGGTATGAACAACTGTAAATAGTACTTACTTCAGGGAATTTGTTTTTATTTATACATATTATTAGGGAGCTGAATTTTAAAAAATGGCTTTTTGAGAATAGTCCCTAGATACTTAACTACCGCACGCACCTTTTAAGTCTTATTTGTGTTACTCCTCTGGTTCTTTTGCCGTTTCTTGTGATATTTTTATGAATTCGGTGGGGTTTTTATCTTTTAATCTTGATCACCTAAAACCTTTTTTAGTTATCTGAATACAAGGTTCGCTTTCTTTCATCTTTTGGTTGTCTTTTTTGTACCCGTTATAATTGGCAGAAAGATAGGATAGAATGCTGTGCTGTCTGTAACACGTTTCCTCCTGTGTTAGCAAATGGGACTCCTTGTACTCTCTGTTTGGATGGGAGAGCTTGGGTTGTTGCTGTATGTGGGATTGGTAGACCAGTAGTGACCCTCTGGACCAGGATCTCTGTAAGGTGATGGGGGACAATGCACTGTAGAAGGTGCTGAGACAATAAACAGAGCTCCTGACTACCAGTGTTCATTGAATATCATATGGCCTTTATTGTAGTTATATGGGTATTAACCCCTGTGTCCTGGCTTTCATTTAAGTCTTGTTCTGTCTTGCCAACTGGAATTTCTCCATAATCCAGCTGGTGAGGTAATTTTGAGGAGTGCTGTACTTCAGTGGTGGATGACATAGGACCTGTCCAAAATATGTGGAGAGACATTGATATCCTTGTGGATTGAAAGTGCTGTGTAAGTATTTTTAAAGCCCACAAGTGTTAGAAAATCCATGTCCATCCAGTTCCAGTCTTTTAGTATAGATAAGAAATGGAGGAAATAGTGAACCAGTGTATAACTTCAGCTAAGTGATGTTGTTTTGGTTGTACAGGTCATGAGCTCATCTTCCATTTTCAAAATGTGTTGCCACACTTGAAAGTTTACTTACACATAGTTTTCTAGCTGTTAATATGTAGAGTTAATCTGCAAAAGGTTGAAAAAGTGCTTGGGAAAAAACAAGAATATTTGGTAAACATAATAACAAGTAAAAATCAAGGACAATATCAAGGACCTTGCGTGTACAGTATTTTAAGGCAGCAAGTCAGTGCATGTTTTAATTTTTATGGTGCAGCATTTATATTCTCTTATTTTAAAGTCTGCCAGGCTTTATCTAAAATATTTTCATTTTACATTAGCACAAAAAATTTAATTCAGGAGAACTTCAGTTCAGTGGCGTTCCAGATTTCCACGCAACATGACCTTTCTGAAAACACCTTATTCCTTGGATTTAACTACGTACATCTGTAATGATTAGGCACCTTGCAGTGCAAAAAAATTAGAGTTCTATGGTCTTAAACCTTAACTATTTATTATTCTAATTGAAAGTCAATGTTTAATCTAGTGCAGTTTTTATTTGATTTATTCTGTTATATTTTGTTTGGTTTTGTAGTAATAGTTTGTATTTGCTGCTGTATCTTACTTTAAATTGTATAAAATTCCTCTTGGACAAGTGTTTTTTTTTTAAATAAAACTTTGGCCCTGCTGTAGACTCCAGTCAGTTTTTTAATGCAGGAACAAATTTCAAATTAACTGAATTGTAATAACGTCACTTAATAGACACACAGTATTATAGTTTAGGCATACAACCTGATGAATTCATCTTTCCAGACAAGGATACAAATGTTCTTTTGTGAATTTAGTTCATTTAGGATTGTGGTTTAACAGGCATTTTAGGTTATGATTAGATTAAATTATTGAATTACTGAATTAATAAATAAGACTGTTTCTTACCTGTGTATAGGCCAAGCTCTGCTTTTATCTTTGAAATAGTATTTCTTTTCTCAAATGTAAGTGGTACACATAGAACAGTACCATACATGTGCATAATGCCAAGCAAGCAGATTTATTCATTTTTACAAGATGTTCTTGTACCCGTGTTCTGTGAGAAATACTTAATTTGACCATAGAAGCATTTGGTTTCACCTCCCTTGGACTTTAGTGCTCTTTAGCTGCATGTATACATTGTTTTGCGTCTCCTAGGGTCAGTTTGCCACTGAGTACACTATTTAATAAAGGGTTGACTTTTATTTGTCAGGGACAGGAAGTCATGCATTTCCCTATTTTCTCTTCCTTTTCTGGAGGCTGCTGTTCTCTTTGCTTTTGTTGTTGGTGGTTAATCTGGAAAGTGATCTTAATTATTGAGGTTCAGTCTCATTTCTGTACTATTTAATCAAACTCCATAGTTAGTAATGAGAAGATGAAATTGCATTCTTGCATATAGATGCTACTGAGCTTTGAAAAGAAGGGGAAAGGGATCAGCTTCTTTGGAGATACATAAATAGCTTTTCAATATTCATAATTTAAGAAGCAATAATAGTATATTTTTATTATTACCAATAACATTAATAAAACTAGTGCTTGAGCATTGCAATATTTAAAGCAGGTTAAGGCACTGGCAAATTTTCGACTAGTTTCAAATTTTATGTTTGGAATGCATTGCTTTTTAATTATGCGGCTGATTAATTTTACAGTTTATTTTCCATTGATGTATGCTCTCAAAACAAGTTGCAGTGCAAATACAGTGTTAAAGGAATGAGAAAAACCCCAGCAGACTCTACAACAACCTCCACCGTGAGATGCTTATTTCAGACCAAAATGTACGAGGCATCTTATGATTTTTGAAGGGATGCAATTCTGACATGGTGTTGCAAAAGTAAGTTTTTATATATAAAATACATATAGGAGAGCTGACACCATCTCAGACTCAAATATATTAATTCATGTGATAAAGTACAGTAACTATAGGGGCACTTTCTTCCCAGAGGAAGCTTAAGGCTGCAGGCAGCTGTGCCTTAAACTTGGGTTCACAAGAACTGATGGACTTTGAAAGCAGGATAATAATAATGGGATACTTGTAGGTGCCAGATGGTAATGTTCAAGGCAGTGGATATTCCACTGTTCGCTGTCAACAGAATGACTGCCCATTTCAAGCGAAGCCATAAGCTGTTTATGAAATTCCTGGATGCTGAGTAACAGTCATTTTATACAATAAAAACGAATTTAACAATTGACAGTGTAGACAGTAATGCAGAGCTTTCAACTTTGAGACAACTATAAGACCTTACCTTGTGGCGGGTGACACAATACTATATATAATTACAAATGCTGCGGTTTCTGTCTGACCATGTTTTTAGTTGATGAGCCCACGACCTCAACATTCTCTAGGGGAGATGCCTGCTTGTAAGAATGGTCATTTGCGCACAAAGAGTGGAATATTGATAAAAAGTGATGCCCCATTTCATGCTATCCATTCAACTCAAAACAGATGGAGAATCAAAGCAACAAAGCTTGATCAATGTCTTCACTGGCCACGGTACTCCACAAAGCACCTGTTGTCCTTAAAATCTCCCGGTGAACTCCATCAGAGAAGTTCGTAATATAGGTTCTGTGCCAGGAATGGACTGATAGACCCAAATAATACT